GCTATGGCCTTGACCTGTGCGCAAGAAATTTCTTTCCAGGGGTTTCGTGGGAAAAGTTAAGGGCTACTTGGGAAAAACGAAGTTCATGGTGGTTTCATGTGAAATGGCCCAAAGTTTTGGGGGTTTTGTGAATTTACCTCTTCTAAATGGTCAAATATTTTACTGATAAAGCCCGGCATGTGGATTCTACTTACATTCTGAACTGTACAGATGTGTGTCTCACTTGTTAAATGAGTACTTTGCCACATCATGGTTGCTACATTACCAGACTGGCCTATTTTCAGTGTATCTAATTTGGTCAACAACTCAACTTATTTATCCTTATTGGAAAAAATGCGAAGATCAGGTTTATGCTTCTGTCAAGCTTTTAATTTGTCCAGAATTCGCCCATTAGAAGGAATTTGTTCTAACTGTGTAGGGTCCACTTAAGAAAAAAAATTATGAAGCTATGGTTTATCAAGGACCAGTCCTTAGTGCTTCTTACTTTGCCAGATCATTCAGGTGCTTTCTAAAACTTACAAATATCACTCTGGAACGTTATGTCTACTCTACTTAGTTGAAGCCATTGGCACGTCATGTATGTTTTGGTAAAATGAAACTACTCCGTATCTATCTATTACACCTGGGAATGTAATAATCTTAGTCACTTAGTCACGGCAGATTATCAAATTATTGCTACACACATTTTGCTGGCTACCACACACGGAAAAGAGTTGCGTTTCTGTTTAGTTTCCTGCTATTACTGAACCTTTTTCCGTGCAAATTCCAGATTTTGACCGACTAATCTAGTGCAATGTGACCTTTACTAAGAACCCTGTCAACCTGATGGCTCCCAAAATTGAACTCTGCATTCTGAAGGAAATGTTATAGAAGAGGAACGAAAGAAAATTGATGTTCTACAAGTGAACAGAATCTACGAGATAGAATGGCATTTGGTTCCTTGTGCTTGTATTATGGTATTATCTATTGTAATGTGCATACTGAAATAAGAAATTTCCCATCTCATTGGTTTCTGTAGATCCATGTAAATATTGATAATTTACGCAAGGTCTTCCTTGGTCTTATGAAGTTATGACAGTATTCCTGTAATGCTGATGTAAGGAGTAAGAAACATGTAATCTGTATAAATTTTTTTTTGGCCCATTGAGCCTCATAGGGGGTCAAATTCAGCAATAAGCTGTTGTATGATTCTGTTTCCTCTGTAACGTGCTCTTGTGTTGCTTTGCTTTTTCCATCGACAACCGCTGCTCTACATTGCTTGATAATTCGAGTAGCGCTTGATCCTAGATGGGTCGGGTCAAGTTCATACCGATGATAAAAGTTGTCTTGCTACTTGAACAAAGAGATACAATGGCATTACACTTTCAATAGAAACCTTTTCTCGAGGGGAAAGGTTGTAAAATGCAATCAATCAATATAGACTACAGAGTAACAGACGGTTGATTGAATTAGAAATGCATTTCCTGCAACAAAAATGCAAACTTAAAGATTATACAATTAATTAAATATTAGATCGGATTTGGAAACACATTTACTACAACATGAATGCAAATGTACAAACAATTGAGTTTTAGATTAATTTCCTACAGTAGATATCGCATGCAAGATTTACTGTAATTATAATTATAGTGTGCCAAACACTTCTTAAAAAGGCTAAATAATCTTTTTATTCTTATCATATTTTACAGGGTTGTTCGCGCTTAAAATCTCCAATGTTTACACGCATTTTAACAGTCCAGTTTTTGGTTTTGATAAAAAATAGCGTTTGGGATATCAAAGTAAAAACGATGAGAACTTTGGATAGTTAAACGAGCATACCCCTATTTTTCAACAAAACATTCTCATTTAATTATTTAGGAAAATCATTCTTGTACGACTATTAATGAAACCATAGAGTTTTATATGAGATTCTTTTTTGCATGTGTAAGGGTAGGCATTCACATAATTTGTGCATAAAATTTGAGGAATATCAACGCTTCAGAATTCACGCATAATAATGAGTTGCAAGGAGACTTAAATTTCACAATCACATTTAGTAGACAAAGAAAAGGAGCTTAAAACATCAAAATATCTTGCTTTCTTTTCTCTCTCTATTTGGATTAAAATAAAAAATCAAAACATGAATTAGTTAAAAAAACAAATTTGTAAAGGACCTAACAGCTTCCTATTCTTTTTTCATTTTATATGACCCCATTCGTAAAGCATAGTTAAAAAAACAAATTTGTCCCTGTACTAAGACCTGAAGCTCAACTTGGTTCATGTACTTTATTTTTTCTCTCAAACTTAGTCCTTGTACCATTTATCAGAAGTAAACTTGGTCCTATTTTAACTCTGTGTTAAAAAAATCCATTAAATACAACTTAAAAGGTCAACATTATCATAATCTTAAAGATTACATATTAATCTATTGTATGTCCTGTTAATTTTATTTCTAGTTCTTAGAAATTGATTGTATAAAAATACACAAAATAAACAAATCATATATGAAAGAAAACAGAATTTTATAGAACCTTAAAAGATATAGGTTTATGAGAAAGGTCTGAAACTTTCGTCCAAATTATTTGCTCTGCATGACTTTCTAAGATTGTTTTAGTGATACCTAGTGTAGCATGCAAAACATTTGGAGTTTTGAGAAATTTGGAACTTTTTCTCTATTGCTAGGCACTAGATAGGTCACTCGATGAGGAAATGCATCGTGATTCACTACATTCATGTTGCAAAGATTTTTCTATTCTTTAATGTGTATGCTATTGATTTTTGACAGATTATAACCCGTGCACTTTGCAACCGCACAGAATTAAATTTGAAAAGATAAAACAATTCATCATCAAACTCTCAGGTTTTTTCCATTTTCTCCCAATTATTATCAAACTCAAGTAATAAAGAACGCATTAAAAAAATGCTTATAAAACAAATCGGAAGCTAGAAACCCAATCCCTTCGGCCTTTGATCTTGTTCTTTATAGAGATTGAAAATAGATTATACATTTTCAACAAACTAGAATATTAAAATCCGTAAGAAAATCTGCCGCAAAAAGTCATAAATAAGAAGATCTTAGTTTTTAGCCGAGTTATAAATAAGAAGATAAAATCTAATACTACACGGATGTTAAAAAAGAACTTAGTTTTTAGCCGAGTTAGGGTACAATTTCACTAAGTTGGAGAAAAAAAATAAAGTACGGGCACTAATTTGAATTTAAAGATAAGTACAGGACCAAATTGGATTTTTACCCAAACCACTACCGCTGTCTCCTCCGTTACCTGCAGCTCTCTACATCAAACCTAGGTGAGAAACCGGCTCCAGATCCACCGACAGAGCCCTAGAAATCTAAACCTCGAACCCAGTACTAATTCCTTCATCTAGATCTCTCTCTTGTTCCCCTCACATTGACCAAGCCTAGGGTTTCTCATAATCGTCTCAAAATCTAGATCCCAATGTCGAGGAGAGCAGTTCCATCTCGGCGGTTGAACGACGATGCCGGCATCCCCATGGCGAGTTCTATGCAGCAGAAGTCCAAGACCTCGCCTTTGGTCTCGGTCGGATTGGTCGTTTTGGTAAATTTTGCTCCTTTTTGTTGTTGTTGTTGTTGTTGTTGTTGCTGCTGCTGTTTTAGTGTTCATAGTGGAGGTTTGGAGTGTTATTGATTTTTTTTTTGGGTCTTTTAGGGTGTTCTGCTGATTGTTGGGTACTCTTATAGTAGATCAGGTTCGTGGATTTTGGATTGTTTTTAGTTCTTTGTGTCAATTACTGTTAGATTCTTATATTTGGCAGAAACTTCGCTTGTTCAGGTGGATTCGGGGGTAATAAAGAGATTTCTCACTTGGGGGAAGGTAAAGATTGTTTTTTTTCCTCCTGTTTTTTTTCCCCTGCAAAATTTTGTTGGGTTTGTATGGTTGGTTTGATCGGTCATTGTTTTTGTACTCCTCATATTAGAAGACAAGACAGAATTTTGATATTTATCTTACAGAGTTTTTCCCTTGTAGAACGGGTTTCATATAATTGTTAATAATTTAATACGTAAGGATAATGGAATGAGAGTTGTAGGTCTGTACCTCACGAAAAGAATTCCTGGGCATTGTGCATATGGTGAGATTGTACAAGTCATGATGTTAGTGGTGGATAGAGATTGAACTACCATGTGTTGAGTAACTTCAGGGCTTGTTTGGGTTGGGGATAATGAGGGGTAAGGGAAGTTAGGGGAATTTTTACCCTTCTTTGGGAATAAACTTTTGCTAGGTGATTGGGGAGAAGGGAAGGTAAAGGAGGCGAGAAAAATCAAGTTTTTGTTACCCTCCAATTTGGGGTGTAACTAGGGTGAAGGGAAAGTAAGGGAACTTTTAATAAAAAACAATTATGGAGAGACTGTTTTACCCTCTATCTAACTTCTAATAATAAAATGACTTAATAACATGCAAGGTTATTTATGTAAGTTTACATATATTCTCTTCTCTTCCCTTCACTTTATTAAACTTCCCAAACGAGGTGAAATAAGTTTCCCTGGATTCCCTTTTCCAAACAAGTTTTGCATGTTACCTTACCTTCTCTTAACTTATTCTATCTTTCCATAACTTCCCTTCACTAGGTGCAAATCCAAACAAGCCCTCAGAGAAACTTCTTAAAGCCTGTCCCTTTTGAAGTTTGCCAATCAGTAGTAATTTTTAAGTTGTAGTTAAAATCTGCAAATATATTTTTCAAACCTATAATTGCCATTTTTATATTGTAGTTGCATTAAATTAGGCTGTTTGGATACAAAATGGAGTCCATCTCCAACTGGCTGCTGATGAGAGGAAGAAGAAGAAGTTCCAGGTTCTGGTGAGAAGAGAAAAAAAAGGTAGGGAGATGAGAAGGAGGAGATAAGGCGAAGAGAAGGGGGCATGACTCTTTTCCTTGCATATTTGGAGTTTAATTTTGATGAAAAGTCAAAGTTAAGAAATCTTAATTGCAAAACCAAACAGGTCCTTTTATCTCATTTCATCCCTCTATTTGTTTATGGTTTTGTTTCCCTATTCTGAGGGATTTCTTTGTTGGCTTGGAGAAGGTAGGGGCATAATCTATTTAAAAAGCTTAGTGAGGATACCAAAAAGTTTGAAGGGCATTTTACATCCCAATAGAAATGTGAGGGGTATACAGGTAGTTTTCTCTTCCTTTTTTTCTTTTCTTTTTCTAGAACATCCTAAAGTATAACATGAATATACAATTAGAGCTTACTAATTAAATATCTATCCGAATTTGTGTTGTAAGAGATATAAATATAAAACGATAAGGTTCTTTTCTAAAACAAATTATTAGATATGAATGAATATATATACAATAATTAGAATTTCCATATATTTTAATCTAAATATTACCGGAAGTCAAAATATATCTATATCCTTGGGTTATAAATACTTAATAGAATAATTTGATGATAAAATGCGAAACATGCTTTTCTTATTAACATTATTTAAAGTGCTCTTAGGATTATATTTTGAAAATAATCCACCAAATCACGGTGTACCCTATTTTCTTTCATTAAAATCACATTACCAGTCAAAGTGAAATATATGTTGTACCCAATCTCAAATAAGGTAACGTAAAAATAACTCGTCTCCAATAAAAAAATTATCATAAAAATATCTTATAAACTCGATGAAACTTTACTGTAAGTGTCCCATTTATATAAAATTTAGGATGCTTACGTTTTCGTGTCCATTTCATGTCCAATAATGCTAGTAATTGATGGAGGGGCAGCTTTGAAAACTTCAGTTTCCATTTTTATCCCTCAAAATCATGCACCAAACAGGAATCTAGAGGATGTTTTGTCAAATTCACTTAGTTTCTTTATTTATTCTCGAAATTCCATATATGACTAGCCAGTTTCTTTTGACTTTAGGCAACACAAGCAAAATATTCCATTATTTGTCATAATGTTCAGAATTACATCCTGTAGGAGTTAGGAATGTCCTTACGGAATGTAGAGCTATTTTCCTTTTGCCATGTCCTTTTACAAGTTCTGATCTGCATGTAAAGCATAGAAATGTTATATTTCATGTTTCTGTCTTTTCCCCCTTTTTCAGAAGTGAAGATCCTTAATACAGATAATTTGAAAACCTACTTGCTAAATTCTCTATGTACGATGATTTACCATAGCATGCTACTCTCAAGTCCATTCATTCTCCTTTGCAGCCAATATGATCATCCAAATGTTGTGCATCATGGCATTACACGATATTAACATAAGAATTGCATTGCTTTTTAGTTTCATGGAAATATGGGGTACGTTCCTAAATGATTTAGTACCTGGACAGTGACGTTGCCAGGAAATGAATCCTTTTTTTTTTGGGAGCGCTTTTGTTTATTCTCTTCAAAAAATGGTAAAGTAATTATAGCATAATTATATTCGATAATACCAAGATTTTATTTGAGGGAAAGCATAGGGTCTCAAACACGAAAACCTCAACCAAATATTATATATGAAATGATTGTTTAGGAAAATAAATAAATAAAGGAGTATTCCCAACTCCAAAAGTAAAGTCCGAATTAATGTAACCAACTCACGAAAAAAAAAGAAAAAAAAGAAGAGAAAAACATCAAGCTTGAAATTGACATTTATAAAATATCCCAATGATTTGTCATTTTTGGAATCAAGTACATATGGCATATGTATCAATATTTATCAATAGTTTAAACCGTGGTTTCTATAATTTATTTATTAGATTTTGTCTAGGGATCGAGGTTTTCCTCAATTCTAGGTTCAGAAGTTTTTCTTTAGCAATTAGACCCTCAGTAAGTTACTATACTCCTAGTTATGACTACTCTTTCTATTTATAGAGATTAATTCTAAAATTCTCCTCCATTTGTTAGGATTGTTAACTATAATAATAATACATTTTTCAGAAAGAAATTTTCAATTGACAGCTTGGACACCTTTACTTGTTCAACTATGTTTCCCTCATATAGTAGCCATTTTGATCCGATGAATTTGTTGGAAAAATCACAAGGTCTTCAATTGATTCTGATTTGATCACCATTTGATCCTTTGCCTATTGCTTTGGTTCTTCTAAGCTGAAGTTTGGGTTCTTTATCCTTTGCCTTGACACTCGCATAGATAACTACCCTTTATGAGGACAGAGGGAGTCGCCACACTCCCCCTCCCAAATGTTTGCCTCAATGCCTTGCAATTACTTTAGCTGAACAACACTTATATAAGAAACCAATTCCGGTGATGTCATGTTGAACATCTCATTACTGATGATAATAATGAAAGACATGCTGTGTAGTTTTGTCTAGATGAACTTATCTTTCCTTGCAATGAAGGTTCTAAATCGTCATTCTTGTTCTCAAAGGTGCTTCCTGTACGCTCGAAGTTCAACAAGCAATACCTATTCTACAAAAAGTATATGGCGACAGCATGAGAAGAGTTTTGCATGTAGGTCCTGCAACCTGCAGTGTGGTTACGAAACTATTAAAAGAAGAAGACACTGAAGCATGGGGTGCTGAACCATATGATCTTGAAGATGCTGATAGCAGCTGCAAGGGCCTTGTGCGAAAGGGTTTAGTTCGTGTAGCTGATATCAAGTTCCCTCTACCTTACCAACCAAAGTCATTTTCTCTTGTCATAGTGTCAGATGCACTGGATTACTTATCTCCAAAGTATCTTAACAAGACTCTTCCAGACTTGGCGAGGGTGTCCAGGGATGGTCTCGTTGTATTTACTGGTATGCCACTGATTACTACTAATATATCTGTTTATAATTACGAAGCATATTGTTGATGCTTTGTTTGTAGTATAGAACTGATATAAGCATGGAAACTTCCAAAAAAATTCGTGCATATTATGGAAGTGTACTACTTACATACAGAAAAGTAAAATACTAAAATACTGAAGCTGAATGGTCTACGCATATTATGAACTGGTACAATAATTCATAAACTTTGCAATATAATGAAGTTGAACGTAGGAAATCTATACACATACCATTTGCAGATGCCTCTGGATTTATCTTTTAATTTTTCATGACGATCTAGGTTGTCAATATTCTTCAGGTTACTCAACTACTTTTGTTAATGTGCAGGCTATCCAGGCCAACAGAGAGCCAAACTTTCTGATCTAGCAAAATTTGGACGTCCGGTATGTTCTCTTTAAACATACTAGATATGTTCCTGTTAAACATAATATATATGTACGTTCCTAGTTCCTTTAGCCTGGGGTGAAGTTTGTTCTTATGCCATTATTTGTATTTTGCTTTTGTGTTGTAGCCTTTATACTTTATATATTTTGTTACAGCGTGTATGAATGTTATCTGGCTTTTTTATAAACCCACTTTTAGACTCTGTTGTTTTAGGATATGTGTTAATTTCTTATCTTGTTATCACTAAACAGTAAACATCACTTAGTTCATGGGTGTAATTTTAAACAAACTTGTTAAACACACAATTTTTACTTCTATACTCAATCCACTCCAAGGTAGCTATCCTTATGTTATTTGTAAATTTCTAAATGAGTGTGTAAATATCACCTCAAATCATTAATTTTGCTCCAACTCCACAAGTGAGCACAACTTTCTGAGCATCTTATTTCTATTCCCCCTGTTGTGCCTCGAGAAACCAAACCAATCGCTGAGAAAGATAAAGAACCAAACAAAATCAATAGCACAAACAACCAAACACCAGTTTTACGTGGTTCGGCGAGATGCCTATGTCCACGGGGCAAGGAGGGGGGAGTTTTCACTATTAGAAATCAAGAGGAACAAACTAGGGTTACAATCTCTCACCAAAACCCTCAACAACTCACTCTTAATCTTTCCAATTGTTCCTAGAATAGAAGCCCAAAGAAAACCCTCACAATCTGCTCAAAAACTCCTGCCTTGCATACCCTAAAAAACACCCAAAGGGTATTTATACAAATCCAAAACGAAACGGGTCTGGAAACTGAACCCAGCCAAAACCGCTTCGGCGGTCGACCGCGGCGGTCGATCGCGCAGGTCTCGCGGTCGACCGCGACGGTCGATCGAACCCCAAAACCCGAGAGAAAATAGATTACAGTCAATCGCGGTCGACCGCGGCGGTCGACCGCCTTCATCTCCGAAACCCAGTAGGCCTGCGTGCACGTTGGCGGTCGACCGTGTCTGCTGGTTCCTACCTGTTTTCCTGTAAGGACAAATTTTCAAAAACAACCTTTTTGCCAATTTAAATAGCAAAATCGACCTCATTTGACATTATTTAGCAAAATCGACCCTTTTCTTCTGAAAAGGGTCGGTTTTGCTGCTTTGTAATTTTACGAAATACACGGGACTGCTAGTCCCGTGTATTTCAATGTGCCCTGCTCAAAACACGGGACTAGCAGTCCCGTGTTCCAGAAATGTTGTTTTGAGTGCTTGTTTTATCCTCGGCTTGTGAGTAATCAAATTGGAGCTTGTACAATTTGTTTGGACTTCAGTGATACTTGGTAATAAGAAGAATTACTTACCACCCAAAAAAAAAGTAAATATTATATTAAATTGTAAAATATTAATATTTAAAGTATTAAATATTTTAACTTTTAATATTTAATATTAAAAAAAGTAAATATTATATTAAATTGTAAAATAATTTCCTCTAGCAAAACTTGACCACCAAAGAAAACAAAAAGAAATCAGATAATAAACACCTAACATTCAAGGTCATAAACAAAATCTATAACAATTAACAAACAACAGCATCTCAATTGTACAAGCTCCAATTTGTACTACATAATAATTATTTTTTAATAAATTACTAAATCAAATGTGAATTATTTAATAATTTTTTACTAAGTTGTATATTTAAATATGTTAAAATTAAATATATTAGAACTTCATTTCAAACATTTCTCAAATTATATTTAAATTATTTAATATTAAATATTAAAAGTTAAAATATTTAATACTTTAAACATTAATATTTTACAATTTAATATAATATTTACTTTTTTTTGGGTGGTAAGTAAGTAATTCTTCTTATTACCAAGTATCACTGAAGTCCAAACAAATTGTACAAGCTCCAATTTGATTACTCACAAGCCGAGGATAAAACCAGCACTCAAAACAACATGGACAAATAACATCTCTGGAACACGAGACTGCTAGTCCCGTGTTTTGAGCAAGGCACATTGAAATACACGGGACTAGCAGTCCCGTGTATTTCGTAAAATTACAAAGCAGCAAAACCGACCCTTTTCAGAAGAAAAGGGTCGGTTTTGCTAAATAATGTCAAATGAGGTCGATTTTGCTATTTAAATTAGCAAAAAGGTTGTTTTTGAAAATTTGTCCTTTCCTGTAATTCTTTAATTCTCCACCTCGGCGAATGTTTCCACAAAAAAACTGAGCCGACACCGATCAAAACAATACCTCAACTGCTGCATCCAGTACGCCATGGCAACGGACTCATGACAACGGACCCCATCCACAACATGTCGAGACCCAAACGGGAGTGCGAACACTCAACCCCAAAACAACTGTGTCTACTCACTAATTAACTGAGCCTACACCGACTACACCAAATGTCTCATTTGCTAAGACCCAAATGGGAGTGCAAACACTCACCCCAAATGTCGATGTCGCTCACCAAAACGGCTGCATCATAAAGACTGCCTACGTATCCTCTTGCCCAAAGAATTAAGCCTTCACGTAGTTCACCCAATGGCCTCCAAAGGCCCTCAATCCAACCTACGGCTGATAGCATCATCAACGACCCCAATCTGAAAACAATCCAACACCTCCACCTGAGATGTAACAATGGCCGTATCCAAAACATATCCACCAGCTGCATCCAAATCAACTACTCATCATCTGCACCCATAAATAAATGACTCTCACGCTGTGTCACCTCAGCTGGAATCCCAAACAATGCAGAATGACCTGGAGTATGTGGGGAAATCCACATCCAATGTGGAGTAGCATCAACCTCCACCCGCTACGGTATCACTCTAATCTGATCAATACTCTCTACCTGCCGAGAGTCCAAAGTGACAAACCTGCTCAGACCAAACTCAGAAGCTCCCCACTGATAGCCGAACGAGCATCTGAATCCTAAATGCGCAATCGGATCCAATCTCACATCAGCGATGTGACCAAGAAATATCCGACGTCAACCAAAAACTAAAGCAGCTCCACCAGATCTAACAACTCTATACGCAGCAGTCGGCAACCTCATAAGATGACCCAAACCTGTCGAAGCCTGAATACCAGATCCACTGCTCGACAACCAATGACGATCCTCCTCCAGAAAAGAACGGCTCACTAAATCCGCTATCTCATCACGTCGCCCCACTGTCTCCTCTCCTCTGAAGTGTCTCCAACTGTCATGAGCTCGGCACCAATGCAAGAAAGGACTCCTACTAGAACAAGTACGACTAGTAACCTTTCTGCCCATACACCTCCTCCAACTATTACGGATTACTAGGGTTTTATACCAACGGGACTTGGTTGCAACCCAAATATGCCTAGTACAATCCCCAACATAGGAAACAAAATAACGATTACCTCCCACTGATGCATACATGGAAGGCCCCCCAATGCCTGACTGAATACCTTTAATAAGACCCCTCGATTGGTGGATAGAAGTGCTGAACTCCACCTCGGTCTCCTCGTTCATCCCAATGTGCTCACAGGACTTCAATCTGCAAGTCATAACACTCCTCAACAATCTGTGCACGGTATAACCAACAATATATCCCAGCACCAAACAATGTCACAGTCTAGCTATAGAAGTAGTCAGCGTTCTATCAACTACCGTGTTCCCAAGCAGATAATACAAGTTACTCCGTCTGACTCCCTTCATCACAATCATGGACCCCGATGTGACCTTCAAGCGAGAATCCGCCAAGGTCACCCTATAGCCTGATGCCTCTAATACCCCAAGTGAAATGATGTTCTTCCTCAGTTGAGGAACGAACCTCACATCAGCCAACTCCCGGATCATCCCGTCACTCATCCGAATCTGAACGGTACCAATACCACCAATAGGACATCTATGATCATTACCCATGAGAACAACATTCTCTTTTTTTAACTCCTGAAAGTTGGAGAACCAATCCCTTCTCGGGCATATGTGGTAAGTAGTACCAGAATCCAACATCCACTTGGTGGAGTCGGCAACATCAACTGACGGAAGAGCTGGGCACGAATAGCCCGGAGAATCTGAATCTGAAACATCGCCACTAGCCTTGGCAACATTCACCTCTGAAGCTTGAATAGCTTTCCCTTTATTCTTCACGGCTTATAATTTTGGACATTCGGCTTTTCAATGTCCATCCTCTTTACAAAAGGTACACTGATTCCTATCAACTGCAGGATGCTCTCCTCTAGACTGCGACCTCCTACCACGGTTTGGACTTCTAGCTCTTGTAACTAATGCCCCCGCAACCGGCTCAATGGAAGTCTCATTGTCCTTCTTTCGAAGTTGATAGTTCACAAGGGCTGCGGTGACCTCATTATACGAAAGAGATGCCTTCTTATTAATAAGAGTGAGGACGAAGGTCTCATATTCCTCGTCGGGCAAGGAACTCAATAACAACAATGCTTTATCCTCATCTTCAACAATGACATCTACGTTCGCCAAATCTGCAAGTAGTTTCGTGTAGTGGTTCATGTGATCACTAATGGATGTCCCCTTCTTCAATTGGAAGTGATAAAGCCTCCTCTTCAAATGCAAACGATTTTTGACGCTCTTTGTCAAATATTTACCCTCTAGGACCTCTTAAATCTTCTTTGCCTAAGTTTCATTCATCACATCATATTTTAGATCTTAGGTAAGGCAAGACCTAATCACACCACACGCCGTTCTATTCATTTTATTCCAAACCTTTTCATCAACGTCAGCCGGTTTCCTGACCAATTCCAATGTATCTTTCAAATTTTGCGCATTTAGCGCATCCATGACTTCGCATCGCCAAAGTCCAAAATTATTTGTGCCGTTGAACTTTTCCACATCTATTTTCATAGAATGTATATTCAAACTTTGGACGGTCTTCACACCAGAAGAACCCTCCCAACTTTTATCTTTTTCAGCCATATATCTCAAAGCACCCAAACAATTACGGAACAAATAGAAAATAGATCCAACTTGAAAAAAAAAATAGAAACTTTACCACAAAGATCCAATCTTTATCACCAATCGAAGCTCTAGATGAACTTCCTAACTGATCTATACCTCCAAAAAGCCCAAGCGCTGCCCGAAGCTCTGATACCAATTGTTGTGCCTCGAGAAACCAAACCAATCGCCGAGAAAGATAAAGAACCAACCAAAATCAATAGCACAAACAATCAAACGCTAATTTTACGTGGTTCGGCGAGATGCCTACGTCCACGGGATAAGAAGGGGGGAGTTTTCACTATTAGAAATCAAGAGGAACAAACTAGGGTTACAATCTCTCACCAAAACCCTCAACAACTCACTCTTAATTTTTTCAATTGCTCCTAGAATAGAAGCCCAAAGAAAACCCTCACAATCTGCTTAAAAACTCCTGTCTTGCATACCCTAAAAAACACCCAAAGGGTATTTATACAAATCCAAAATGAAACGGGTCTGAAAACTGAACCCAGCCAAAACCGCTTCGGCGGTCGACCGCGGCGGTTGACCGCGCAGGTCTCGCGGTCGACAGCGGCGGTCGATCGCGGCGGTCGACCGAACACCAAACCCGAGAGCAGAAAACAATTACAGTCAATCGCGGTCGACCGCGGCGGTCGACCGCCTTCATCTCCGAAACCCAGTAGGACTGTGTGCACGTTGGCGGTCGACCACGGCGGTCGACTGGCGAACACTCAACCCCAAAACAACTGTGTCTACTCACCAATTAACTGAGCTTACACCGACTACACCAAATGCCTCATTTGCTAAGACCCAAATGGGAGTGCAAACACTCACCCCAAATGTCGATGTCGCTCACCAAAACGGCTGCATCATAAAGACTTCCTACGTATCATCTTGCCCAAGGAATCAAGCATTCACGTAGTTCACCTAATGGCCTTCAAAGGCCCTCAATCCAACCTACGGCTGATAGCATCATCAACGACCCTAATCTGAAAACAATCCAACACCTCCACCTGAGATGTAACAATGGCCGTATACAAAACATATCCACCAGCTGCATCCAAATCAACTACCTCATCATCTGCACCCATAAATAAATGACTCTCACGCTGTGTCACCTCAGCTGGAATCCCAAACAATGCAGAATGACCTGGAGTATGTGGGAAAATCCCCACCTAATGTGGAGTAGCATCAACCTCCACCCGCTGCGGTATCCCTCTGACCTGATCAATACTCTCCACCTGCCGAGAGTCCAAAGTGACAAACCTGCTCAGACCAAACTCAGAAGCTCCCCACTGATAACCGAACGAGCCTCTGAATCCCAAATGCGCAATCGGATCCAATCTCACATCCACGATGTGACCAAGTGCTGGGTAGCCAAATATCCGACGCCAACCAAAAACTAAAGTAGTTCCACCAGATCTAACAACTCTATACGCAGCAGTCGGCAACCTCATAAGATGACCCAAACCTGTCGAAGTCTGAATACCAGATCCATTGCTCGACAACCAATGCCGATCCTCCTCCAGAAAAGAACGGCTCACTAAATCCGTCATCTCATCACGTCGCCCCACTGTCTCCTCTCCTCTGAAGTGTCTCCAACTGCCATGAGCTCGGCACCAATGCAAGAAAGGACTCCTACTAGAACAAGTACGACTGGTAATCTTTCTGCCCATACACCTTCTCCAACTATTGCGGACTACTAGGGCTTTATACCAACGGGACTTGGTTACAACCTAAATATGTCTAGTACAATCCCCAACATAGGAAACAAAATAACGATTACCTCCCACTGATGCATACATGGAAGGCCCCCCAATGCCTGACTGAACACCTCCAATAAGACCACTCGATCGGTGGATAGAAGTGCTGAACTCCACCTCGGTCTCCTCGCTCATTCTAATGTGCTCATAGGACTTCAATCTGCAGGTCATACCACTCCTCAACAATCTGTGCATGGTATAACCAACAATATATCCCAGCACCAAACAATGCCACAGTCTAGCCATAGAAGTAGTCAGCACCCTATCAACTACCATGTTCCCAAGCAGATAATACAAGTTACTCCGTCTGACTTCTTTCATCACAATCATGGACCCCAATGTGACATTCAAGCGAGAATCCGCCAATGTCATCCTATAGCATGATGTCTCCAATACCCCAAGTGAAATGATGTTCTTCCTCAGTTGAGGAACGAACCTCACATTAGCCAACTCCTGGATCATCCCGTCACTCATCCGAATCTGAACGGTACCAATACCACCAATAGGGCATCTGTGATCATTACCCATGAGAACATCCCCTCTTTTCAACTCCTAAAAGCTGGAGAACCAATCCCTTCTGGGGCATATGTGGTAAGTAGCACCAGAATTCAACATCCACTCGGTGGAGTCGGTAACATCAACTGACGGAAGAGCTGAGCACAAATAGCCCGAAGAATCTGAATCTGAAACATCGCCACTAGCCTTGGCAACATTCACCTCTGAAGTTTGAATAGCTTTCCCTTTATTCTTCACGGCTTATAATTTTAGACATTCGGCTTTTCAATGTCCATCCTCTTTACAAAGGGCACACTGATTCCTACCAACTGCAAGATGCCCTCTTCTAGACTGCGACCTCCTACCACGGTCTGGACTTCTAGCTCTTGCAACCAATGCCCCCGCAACCGGCTCAATGGAAGTCTCCTTGTCCTTCTTTCGAAGTTGATAGTTCACAAGGGCTGCGGTGACCTCACTATACGAAAGAGATGCCTTCCCATTAATAAGAGTGAGGACGAATGTCTCATATTCCTCGTCGGGCAAGGAACTCAATAACAACAATGCTTTATCCTCATCTTCAACAATGACATCTACGTTCGTCAAATCTGCAAGTAGCTTCGTGTAGTGGTTCATGTGATCACTAATGGATGTCCCCTTCTTCAATTGGAAGCGATAAAGCCTCCTCTTCAAATGCAAACGATTTTCGATGCTCTTCGTCAAATATTTGCCCTCTAGGACCTCCCAAATCTTCTTTGTCGAAGTTTCATTCATCACATCATATTTTATATCTTGGGTAAGGCAAGACCTAATCACACCACACGCCATTCTATTCATTTTATTCCAAACATTTTCATCAACGTCGGTCGGTTTCCCGTCCAACTCCAATGTATCTTTCAAATTTTGCGCATTTAGCGCATCCATGACTTCGCATCGTCAAAGTCCAAAATTATTTGTGTCGTTGAACTTTTTCATATCTATTTTCATAGAATGTATATTCAAACTTTGGACGGTCTTCACACCAGAAGAACCCTCCCCACTTTTATCTTTTTCAGCCATATATCTCAAAGCACCCAAACAATTACGGAACAAATAGGAAATAGATCCAACTTGAAAAAAAAAGATAGAAACTTTACCACAAAGATCCAATCTTTATCACCAATCGAAGCTCTAGATGAACTTCCCAACTGATCTATACCTCCAAAAAGCCCAAGCGTTGCCCGAAGCTCTGATACCAATTGTTGTGCCTCGAGAAACCAAACCAATCGCCGAGAAAGATAAAGAACCAACCAAAATCAATAGCACAAACAATCAAACACCAGTTTTACGTGGTTCGGCGAGATGCCTACGTCCACGGGGCAAGGAGGGGAGAATTTTTACTATTAGAAATCAAGAGGAACAAACTAGGGTTACAATCTCTCACCAAAATCCTCAACAACTCGCTCTTAATCTTTCCAATTGCTCCTAGAATAGAAGCCCAAAGAAAACCCTCACAATCTGCTCAAAAACTCCTGCCTTGCATACCCTAAAAAACACCCAAAGGGTATTTATACAAATCCAAATGCCTTGCATATCCTAAAAAACACCTAAAGGGTATTTATACAAATCCAAAACGAAACGGGTTTGGAAACTGAACCCAGCCAAAACCGCTTCGGCGGTCGACCGCGCAGGTCTCGCGGTCGACCGCGGCGGTCGACCGAAAATTGGTTGTTTAGCATCCTACTAATTTAATGAATAATTACGTCACTTCTTTACTAAAATAAATTCAAATTAGATTAGCTTATATGTAAAAGTCTACAATAATATGTTTAGTATACTTGCATACACAATTTTGTAAATAGTTTTGTCAGTCATTTATTAGAAATATTATTTTACATTTATTTTTATATGGAAATCATGGTTAAAGTATGTATGTTAATATTTATTTTATTATTTTAAACATTTACACTATGCACATGCATATCTTACTAGAAATTCCATGTGTATACACTAAATAATAAATAATATAATTGATATGAAGGACGGAGAATTGTTTAGATAAAAATCTTTGCACTTGCATTTGTATATGTCGATATGCTAGTTTAGCATTAAACCCCTGTATCGATTTTTCCTTGCACTGGTATCCCTGTTGATTGCCTAGGCCCCCATATTTTTTTAAAAATAGACACCCATAGTTAATAATGATGTCACTAATATTTTGGTAAAAATACCATTTACTAGTTAACTTATAGTCTTGCCCCCAATGGCCAAAGTTTCTGGATACGCCCCTGACGCTACTTATCATTTTGGGGATTTCTTCAGCAGAACCATTTTAATGCATTATATGTATGAACTTAGTTATGTCCTCCTTTGGTGTCACCTATTTTATTTTACATTCTGTTTCTACTTTTCCTTGGTCATCTCTATGCAATGACCAAACTGTAGTATCTTCCCCCTGTTCATATCGCACCTATGTTTCCGCATGTTCTTTGCATATATTCCTTTACGAATTTAATCATTTACCCTACAGTATACATCTTTATCCCTAGCCCTCATTGTAGTTCTACTACTTTCTTAGCATAACAACACTCTTGGATCTTTTTCCCCTCTGTAGGCCAAACTACGAAGTGCATCTTGGTGGATTAGGTTCTTTTTCCAGACTGGCTTAGAGGAAAATGAAACTGCAACAAAAAAGTTCGAGCAAGCTGCTAGCAAGAGATCATACAGGCCCAGCTGTCAAATTTTTCATCTCAGCTCTTAGCACTGCTGTGCGTCATTTTTCTAGTTCAAGATAAGTGTACCTATTTCCACTATCTCCGGATTCTCAGCTCTCGTGTTGCTTATTACATTTGGATGCAGAATTTTTGTTGTAATCTCCCTTGTATTAATTTTCTTAGATTGTAATCCTTTGAAATAATTGTTTGATTGAAGTCATTTTAAAATGTTAGTGATTACTTCTTGTTTACAAAAGAGTTCTATGAAACTAGATACCTATTTGTCTATTTGCTGGTTCACTTTGTGAGCTGCTTCTATGTTAAGTCATCAGCCTTGGGGTCATCTTCTATTTTAGTTACTACCTTGCCCATCTTTACATGTGATCACTATAAACGACACTATTTTGAATGGGATTTGATGCTGATCTAACAAATAAAGCAATATAATAGCTTGATTCTTATTTTTTATAGTACTTGGTACTGATTTATTAGTATATATATAATATATATACGAGATTTGTTGATCCTGTTTCATTTACCCCTCTCACACAATGGCCTGTGTTTAACCACACATATAGTTATTTATCTAATCCATATTGAACACCTTTTCCTATCAAATTCCCCAAGTCATAAATCACCCAATGCAAAAAAGTTGGCTAGGCCCTTCTGGCTGATTACTGTCTTAGAAAATAGGGAGAAGGTGACTTCTTAGTGTTATAGTTGTGGAGTAACGCCAGAGAGATTTTTTTGATTAGTGCTATTTTCGTCGGCAATCAAGTAGAAGCTAAAAACTTAAAAGACACCATCTAGAAGAAGGCATCTTCAGTTTTCACAATGAGAGCATTGGCTAACATATAATCCATCATTAGAGGTTTCTATTGCTTTAAAACACCAAGAAGCACCAACCGTTTTGGCCTTTATCATGATTGTTGCTTTTGAAGTTAACTTAGCTCTCTTATGTTGTTGCCAATTTGGTTAGGTTAATGTACCCAACTTCTTACATCAACCTCATACCTTTCTTTAATACATCAATTAAATAGACCCCTGTTTATCTAAACTCTAGTATTAGCATAGTTAACTAATTTTTACATTATTGCCATATTATCAACGACGCTTCACCATCATGCTAAATCTGTGAAGGTCATATTTCACTAAAAAGGGTAAAGATATAATAGTTTGCGACCGATAAGCTAATGACAAGACTAGAGGTGGATGAATGAGTGTGGGAGTTGAAATAGATCATCCTGAGGAAGAAACCTTAACCAACTATGCAAAATTAACCATATTTAATTTACCAACTTGTATATAAATGGGCAGGTTTGGTGAGATATTTAAGAACTTTCAACCTTTTATGGGGAAACTTCCATCTTTTTAAGGACTCTTCTTCTTCTAGTCCCTCTCATTCTCCATGGAAGGTCTAATCCCATATATCTACAAAGCCATAGTTCAGTACAGGAACAATGATCAGCCTCAAGTTACAGTGATTCAGTTTGATGAAGTGCCTTCAGCTTCCTATGTGAGATTGCCTGGAAATTCTGGGAGATTCAGGATGCCAGATGTTCAGTTCTTTGCTTCTTCGCCTCCTTCATCGCCTGAACCATTAAAGCAACCTAAAGGAAGTCAAGTTCTTTAGTATAATTTGTCATGTTTTGTAATAGAGTAAATTGCGGATAGACCCTGAATATCGTAGTTTTGAACTTACTACCCCTCTAGTTTTGTTGTTGTAGATCGACCCCTCGAGTGAAACTTTTTGATTCTTTTACCTTCGCACGGAGAGAATTTTCTCGACATTGATCCCCTGAGGCTTAAAGGGTCAAAATTTCACTTAGAGGGTCTATCTTGCAACAACAAAACTAGAGGGGTAGTAAGTTTAAAACAACGATACTGCAAGGGTTCTATCCGCAATTAAGGCTTCGTAATAGGTTATGGACTTCCAAAAGAGGAGGATTTACCCTTTATTTGTGAATTTAGTGAGTGTTTTGAATTGTGAAGTATGGATGTTTTGTGTAGATAGTTGAGTGATATGTTTGAGGATCTAACCTATTAATGGTGTTCTGTAATAGTAGAAGAAATGTATTGTTCGATATCAATGCTTGTCAATGGCCAGAAACATTTGACATTTGATTCTTCCAAAAAGGAAGATTTTGCCCTTTATTTGTGAAAGTGGTGAGTGTTTATATTTGTGAAGAATGGATGTTTTTGTAGATAACTGAGTAATGTTTGAGGATCTAAGCACTTAATTCTCCCAAGGGGAATGGAGGTTTCTGTGAATGTATTGTATTGAGGAGGAAATGTTTTGTTTGAGACTGATGTTTCTTAATGATCAGAAACATTTAGACACGTGATGGTACTTTATAGCCTTGTAATGATGTGGTTTGATATCAAAATTTTGGTTATTGCAGTTTGCACTTATTTTATTAAACTATTTAACTGAGGTTGATGCAGGAAACTTACATATTTTTCACTTCTAGTCGGATGGACTTAGATCCTCTCCAATTAGGTGGTAATTAGGTAGTATCCAAATACTCCATTCCTATTCTTCTATTTCAATTCGAACGGCTGAGATTCAGCCATATAAGCTTTCCACTCTCATAATACTGGTTTTTACAATAGTGATTTTAAAGGTAACAATGATTTCCAAAACAATATTTAAAGTCGTTCGTCGCTTTAATTACAATTATTGGAATTGAATTAGAGGCATATGATTGGAATAATTGGATACTCTTCAATTATCATCTAATTGAAGGGTATCTCAATCCAAAGTCAAAGGTAATAATAATTTCCAAAACAATATTTAAAGTCAGTTCGTGGCTTTCATTACAATTATTGGAATTGAATTAGAGGCATAGGATTGGAATAATTGGATACTCTTCAATTATCATCTAATTGAAGAGTATCTCAATCCATAGTCGGGCTGACTGAGCTCCCCCACCATTTATTATATGTTATTATTTTCTTTGTTTGATACTAATTCATAGTTGGAAGGACCAAGCTCCCCATTTATTATGTGTTATTATTTTCTTTGTTTGGTATTAATTGCTTACTGTTTGTAGTCATTGCTTGTTTGAACTGGGCCCGTGATTTATTATAAGCCCAAATTTTTTTAATACAAAACTGGTTAACTCTTTGCCTAATCTAGCCCAACTATTTGGGTAACGTATGGTCCAATTTTCTTGTCCGTGTAGCTTTTGCTTTTGTGTAAACTAGTTTTATACACGTGCAACGTGGTTAAATATCATGATTAAGTATTTTTAGCTTATTTTATAGCTAAAATTTGTTCCTCAGGTTCACTTTAATAGTTTATGCTCACTTTTGTCTCTAAACTTTAATATTGCGATTAGTTATTTTCTTTAATGTTTGTTTAAATAGGCTACACCCAATTTAAACTTTCATGTTAATATTAAAATTGATAGAAATCAAATATAATTTGAAGCTAATTTAAATTTTCATATTATTTTGATTGACATGAAACCAATCTTTACTTGAGAAAGTACAATGTAGCAAAAGTAAAAAATATTGAAACCATGTTATGCAAAGAAGGTGAATATTTAAAACCAATAAGGCAAAATAATTGCTTAAAAGTATGCTAAAATATACAAAAGAGAATATAAATTTTGTTCCTAATCATTGATAACCTTCATAAAAAATTATAAATTAAAGATTAATGCTAACTCTAGTATACTTTCATATGAAAAATGCATTTGCACAAGCATATAAATCTACTGAAAAAGCTCCATTCTAAAGATTTCTAAATTCACACAAAATAATTAAACTATTCTATAAAATATTCACAAAATATTATCTTTTACTCCTTCAGTTTTTTTTACTGAGCTAATATCAATCCTTCCTCACCTTTATCTTTTTTCCCAGGCAATTCTATAGTAGTATCTTCATCATCTACTCGATTGTGACATCGGGCTAGAGTTGTACTTTTTGTGCTGTTATCGTTCTTGGGCTCGTTAATCTTTTATCTTATTGTTTAACTTTACAAAAAAGTTAAATGTATTTTTGATATTCAACACAAACTTCTTGAAATACAGACTTTGATTTTTTTTATTTTAATGAGAATAAATATTAATTTCATATATATGAAATTCTTTTTATTCCTAATTTATTACTTAAATAAAATTAAGAGCTACCTCTTTTTTTTTCTACAATAAATTCTTCTGATGTGCATCTAACAAGAGTTTCTGTTACGTTAATAATATTACATTTGCTCTATCCATGTTATTTTTCACAAAGATCTAAACTAAATACCTATATTTTTTATTACTAATTTACCTTAGATTATAATATTAATATTTAATTTCTTTAGTATTTTAAGAACAAAGTATGAAATTTATGAATGTTTACTAATTTTTCTTACATCTTCTATAGAGAATTCTTCTTTGATTGGGATAAAGTTTTATTAAATTATTCTTCAATGTAACTCAGTTGGTGCTTCTTTAATAGACATGCCTTATGTTAATGACAATTCAAATGATTCATGAACGTTTTCCAAATTTTAGATTTATTTGCGTCACTTTCCCATTTTCAATGAAAATAGTTTGATTCTTTTGAATGATATCTCTTAACATTCTGATAGTTTCTTCATAGGTAACTCATTGTATTTTTTGAATGCTAAGCTATTATATTATAGTCTTTTATCATTTTTATGGATTTAAACATCTATCAATTAATAATACTAATGTGTTTTTCTGCTCCAACTTATTAGTAAAATTCTATGCGGTTGCTTTAATTTATATGGTGACGATAATTTTTAAGCTATAATATTTTTAAAATTTTTATTTCTTAACCGAATATTTTTAATCAATTCTATCGCTTTTGTTTACGAGTATAAATTTAGAATGTCTTTAAATGCTGAAAAGGGATAGTAAACCCCCAAATTAAAAATTATATATATATATATATATATAACTTTTAAGTTTGGTAGTTGTAACTTCTATGTTTCATGTGTCGGTGGTAATTTTTAAATGTCACGATATTCCTTACAACTCTAAAATTTTAAGGTTATTTTTTGCAATTATTAAAACTATAGATTAAGTTTTAAAAAATTCAAATTTTAGCGGTCTATCAATAATTTTCAGATTTGATGTGTAATGGTTATAAATTTTAAAATTTTAGAGTTTTTCTTATAATTTTTAAAATTTGAAAGAGTTTTTTTTATAACTTTTGTAACTTTGAGGTTAATTTAGGTAAATTTTAAATTTTTAGGTGTATGAGGGTAATCTCTTGAATTTATTTTTTGTTGTTTGCAAATTTTAAAATTTTTATAATTTTAGGGTTATTTTTTTATAATTTAAACCTTTGAGGGAGTTTCTATAATTTTTAAGATATTGAGGGTGTTAATTGAAATTTTTAAATTTTTCAGAAGCTGCTGTTAATTGTTTAATTTCATGTTTATTATTTTAAGCTTTGAAATACCAGAAATTTTCAGGTGCATTATAGTAATCCCTTGAATTCATCTATGTTGTTTGTAAGTCTTAAAATTTTAGAATTTCAGGTGTTTTTTTGTAATTTGAACTTTTGATGGTGTTTCTATAAATTTTGAGATAATGAGATGTTATCCGCAAATTTTAAATTCTTCACTGTTAATTTCTTAATTTTATTTTTGTTGTTTTAAGTTTTTAGACGTCGGGATAGTTTTTATAATTTTAAACTTTTTAGGGTAATTTTAAAAGTTTTAGATTTTTTTGCAATACTTTATGTATTATAGTACATTAGCTACGTATAATTTCTTTATCTCTACAAATTAATACCATAAAATGATGTTTTAAATATTTTATTAATATAATTTTTTAAACTGTTAAGCTATAGATAGTTCACGTAGGATTATGATAGGATATAATTATGATTACGTATAATTTTTTTATTTTGACAAACTAATAACATAAAAATATGTTTTACATATTTTATTAATATAATTTTTTTAAATTGTTAAGCTATAGATAGTTCACGTACGATTAAGATAAGATATAATTATGATTAGAATAGATTAAGATATAAATAAAATATTTAAAATAGTGAAGGGTAATATTGACTATAGAAAGATTTTCCGAACTCGTGCTTTTAAAGAGAGTATGATGTTATTCTTTAAAGCAATTAAAATATTTTATTTGAGGGGGTCAAATTCTGAGATATTTTATTTGAGGAGGTCAAATTCTATAGTGCATCAAAAGGAAGACAACAGTTAAAGATGGCTCTTTAGGACTCTAAAATTGCTTGATTGTGAGTTAAACATGACATGCCCTGAAATAAATGCGTTAGAGCAACGAACAAACATCACTTTGAAAATCAACTTTCAGAACTTCAATTGTCAACTCAAACGAAGAGGTTCAATTTTCTCCATTCTTTTTCTGCTGTATAATTTCTTCTTTCGATTTAGAAAGTAGTTTGTTTCCTTTAAAATTGGCGTCTGCTACCTCATGTGGATTGCAGAGTGTATATTATTTTTTGAATAAATGCATGATTCTGCATCATAGACTCCCAAAAGGAAAGAACAAATTATGATTCCCAATTATCTCAAAAGCGAAATTTTCCCATGAAAGAGAAGTCTTATAGTCACATGCTCTTATGAATGAAATTTTAATCATTGCTCCCAAAGAGACAAATTAATAAACAGGGACTCACCACCTCCCTTAGTTTTTGAGATGGCATAAGGCTATGTTTGTTTGCATGCAAGTGAAAAATCAAAGTGGGAAAGTTACTTTCATTTAACAATTAAGATGTTTGTTTTCATGTAAGTGGTTATGAAAGTAAGATGCATGAAAGTTGTCACGTATGATTTAATACAATTTTAACTTCCCCTAAAAAAAGTGATGAAGTCACATGAAAGTGACAAAAAAGTAACTAATTTAATTAAATAATTTTAATTATACTTTCTAATTAATCTTATTTTGTCACGTCATCTTCACATTGCACTTTCGATAGTAATTTAATTTTTTAAACAAACACTGTATTTTACTTGCGCGCTGACATGGATGTAAAAATCATTTGCAAAAAAAGTAACTTACATATTTTAAATTCACTTTCAGATCGCCAAAC